CGTCCATGCATTGTATTTGGCTTTCAAATAATCATAATGGTTTTTCATTTGTTTTTGTTCTACGACAAAGTTATGTTTGTTTTTAAGCGTCTCCGCAACATTCTTCCATGAACGCGGCTTAAGATTGGTGCCTTCTCGTCCATGTACAACGACCTCTTGTATACATGCTTCAAGAAATGTTCACACCACACTCTTTTTTTTCCAGTTTATTCTACGTCTCTTTGGCTGTGAACTCTCATTGACTATGTCCATACCTTACAAATGATGACATATAACAAATCAAGACTGAAATCCTAACAAAGGACCATATATAAAAGATATCTTATAATATGCCTAAAAGGTATACACTTCAATAACAATGCATTTGTATGGTATACACATATGTAATACAAGTAATTTGTTCTATATACACATGTGCATACGTATGTATAAACCAGAAAACATACATCTTCAATATGTTACATAATGTAATATATATGATCAAGAAAGATAAAGGACCAAGAATTAAGAAAAGGAATACCATTTAATTGGCATGGTTATTTGCAGTTTCATGCCCAAGTTAGAACCAGTTAACTACTGAGATAGTGAGGTTACAAAAGGATATGACAACACTAGCATACAAAATTGTCATTTGTTTCTAAACTCTTTAGCCTTGGTTATACAGAAAACACTAGTTGGGTTTTCACAAGTTGTTGGTCAAATCCAGGTTTGCAATCGAGAGTTTCCCCAAAGATTTTCTGTATTCCTGTTGGGTTTTCATTCATATCCGTGAACAATGTATTGCCAAACGCTTCCAATTTCAAATTATAATCTCAAGCCCACGAACACCTCTAATATGTATAATCACAGAATACTGCAAAGATAATGAATCAAACTGTAATGCAAGTGTTTGTACAACATCTAGTTACATATAAGCTGTGTGTAATACATAGCGGCTTAAGAAGAAGGGTGAGACGGAGCTGTTTGTTAACCACATACGAATACAGAACAATAAGATAGGGAGCGAAGTTGTTTCAAGCCCTAGAAATATGAAATCGTTACCTGTGAATCGATTGGGCGACATTGGTGATCGATGAACAAGAAGAGAATGGTGAACGACAAGAAGGCAATTAGAAGAACAGATGCGTCGCTTGGAGAACTCGATGGAGCCAGACCTGGAGACGAGATTAGAGAAAATAGAGAGGGCAATCTTGGAAAATTATCAAATCTGAATGATATGGAGGGAGGGGCCGTGAAGGAGCGAATCAGATACCATTTTACCATTCAGACGTTTTTAAAAACCTACCCAAACAAGAAAAGGTCGGATCAAATCAGACCTTTACATCTTAATGGTATGATTAAGTGGTAAACAAACAGCCCCTTACCTCTTATTTTGGTCTTATTGACGACTTGATCTACCCCATTCCACGCTCCTCTCAAAACGTCATGCGCTCAACCTAATCAATGGATCCTTCATGCCTCTGACCTATCTCACCGTAACCTAATAGCTGAATCGTTCAATCGATCTAAATCACTCAATCCCGTTGCATCTGTTGGTTCTTTACTTCGATTTTCACAACCAAACCACCGTTTAAGGTATGATTTTTAGTATTTTTTTTTCTTCTGATTGAACCCCTATGTAATCAAGTATGATTTTTGAGTAATAGCAAATTGGGGATAAAATCATTGTCATTGTTTCATTGTTGGTTTTGCAAGTATGATCACCTTCTTAGGAACTCAATTCTCTTGCTATAACCACTTTTGATATTTCCAAGTTTTGTTGGTATGAACTGAGTTCATGTGTTTATTGCCGTTAGCACTTGGTAAATGATAGATGTTTCAGCTATATGTATATGCTCTTTGCCTTGTTGACTGATTGTATAGTGTAGTAGATGTTTCAGCTATATGTATATGCTCTTGGTTCAAATGAATTGCTAGTTTTATAATTTGAATATAAATTTCATAGATTCAAACATTATAAGATTTTAACGAGTAAAATAGAGAATTACATACATTCAGACATTTATCAGTTTGCAAAAAGAAAAAGTGTTGTCGATTCTGATTTCAGATTTCAACCCCACCTCTTAAAAAACAAACAACAGCCGGTTTCCTTTTTCTTATGAAAAGGCACACACCCTGGTTCTGAAAGTGCGAGATTTTGGACTTGAATATGGATCAATTTGGGGGAGGAAACTGGAATTTGATCCCAACCATGGCTGCCCACAGCAACCCTACTACACCATCCAATCAGGATCATCTGTATCTCCAGCAACAGCAACAGTTTCAACAGCAGCAGCAGCAGCAGCAATTTCATCAACAATTTCAACTGCAACAACAGCAGCAGCAGCAACGCTATCAGATTTCTCAACAACCACAACAGCCACAGCCACAGCCACAGCCTTCACAATCACTTGCTTCACATTTTCACCTCCAAAATGTAAGCCTTTTTCTTGATTGTTCAAAACCCTGACCCTAAAAGTTAGTATGTTGATTATTGGCTAATTCAGTTTGATTTTATCATTGTAGTTGGTGGAGAATTTAGCGGATGCGATTGAGAATGGAACTCGAGATCAGCATTTTGATACACTGGTTCGTATTCCTATAATTTCCCTTCTATCTAACTCCAATTGAAGTTCTGTGTGTTGCATGCTGCTTTTTTCAACTTTTATGATTGTATGCTCGTTTCGTTTACTTGAATTGATCATCTATCACTTTCTGAGTGCAGTTGCAATCAAAGCCCTAGAAGTTACCAATTTTCAGCTTAGGGGATTGGTTCTCTTCTGTTTATTTCCCCTTACAAGTTGCATTGTTTCTTTTGAAGGTTACTGAATTGAGCAGCCACTTTGAGAAATGCCAGCAGCTCTTGAACACTATATCAGGGTCTATTGCCACCAAAGCTGCGGTATGTTTGTTGCTCATATATTTTCTTCTATTGTATGCCAAACAAGCTTTTTCTGTCTTGAAGTCCCTGAATCAGTGTTTGATTTATAAAGCATATCTGTCTGATGAGATGTGTTTAATAACATGACTAAAAGTGGAGAATTTTAATAAAATCTACCTCCCCAGCAAGCACAACTCACTCGCATGATTCTAAGCAAACCACATTATGATTTTGATTTTGCAGTCTTCATAACAGTACACTATTTTTTGGTACCAGAATGGGACAAAAGATGGCATACCAATCGGACACAGCGTATCCCACATAGAGGTAGGTTTTGGGGTAGGATGTAGGTAGAACTTGCCTCTATCCAAAGGATAGAGAGGTTGTTTCCTATGAAGACCCCTGGCTTGCAAAACGAAAACAAAAATACAATGAGATAGGTGAGAAAAGCAGCATAGTAACATAGCAGTGTGTGCAAACACGCAACAGGTTTCAGTGAACAAAAAAGGAAACATGTACGTAAGATAAACTAAGAATGACATATAGTCTGCTACCCTAGTTCTATGTCTCCAAGGCCTCCTATCAAAGGTCGTATGACCTCCTTGGCAACTTCTCCTACGATCCTTAACAATCTATCAAAAACTCAACTGTATGCATTAGCATGACAGCGTTCTCTTTCCGAGGAATACTTTGTGGTGGCTCAGATTTAGTAGAAAGAATCATTAATTTGGCCCTCTGTGATTTTTTTTAGACCGTGGAGGGACAAAAACGCAAAGTTGAAGAAGCTGAACAAATGCTAAATCAGAGAAGGTATGTGTCGGCTGCAGTGTTTATGTTCAATTATCCATTATGTCGTATTGATGGATTGTTATTTTTTACAATAATAGGGATCTGATTGCAAAGTACAGATATTCTGTTGAAGAACTTACGAAGCCTGACCTGTAAGATTCGAGTAAGATTGTCGACTTAGTTGTTGTTTGCTTGTGGCTTACTGATCTTAGACTTGCATTACTATGGCTGCAAATTGTACTTCAAATCAAATTTATCTCAACATAAAAGCATTAAAATGATATTTAACAGTTCACTCAAATTGTTCTGCTGGTCTCTGTTTTGGTTACTGATCATTTTCATTTCATGGGTCTTATAAAAATGTGATCATGACTTCCTATTTGATATATGCTTAATGAACTTCAATGGAAATCTCATAGAAATTATGTTTGTTGGTTTTTGTTCATTTTTTCTTGTGAACTGCTTGAGATTTTCTCAACATTACAATACAAGGATTTGTGCTGTCCTTTAGAGCTCCCCACTCTACCAATCTTATGACGAACATGGATGAGATAAATCAGCAGGGTGGGGGATTTGAACCCGAGACCCTTTTTGTGGAAATTTTACCGTATTTTTGTTTGTCATAGGGAGGCGGACATATGTGGAGGAATACGGCCCCCGTGCTACCATGCGTGTGTCAACACGTAGTGGATCATTCTGAAACTCTTCCCGCAGCCTTGCCTACCTCGGCAGGCATACCCCGCAACCAATTCATCTCATCGGCCTGCTTTGCTAATCCGTGGACCAAGGGATGTAGGCCGAGGAAAACTTGAAAGAAAGAAGTGATGCGAAGGATGGTGTGAGAAGCAGAGTTGATGTGAGAAGTGTAAAAAATGATCTCGACCCTTGATCAAGCCCACTCATTAATTTGCGCTTGATATGGGGATTATCCGGTGGGTCTCAATGCATCTTATTCTAATGTGCATCCGAGGGTGGAGATCCCTTCTTACGTTTTCTCACCTTAACTCTTCTTCTCACCAATACCCAACCCGACTCATAAAAGTGTCACAATTGTGATTAAATATGTGCCAACACATAGTTAAAAGGGAACAAAAAAATCCATGTTGCATTTCCGATTTAAAATATTTCTTTCTTTTGAAATGTTAGATAAACTCTAGATCATAAAAAAGAAACTTTAGGGGTGTTCAAGAATACTTCTGGACTGCGAAAACGGGTCAAGGCCACACCGAAAAATAGGCATGGGAATTAGGCCCGATCCGTCGTTAAACTGGGTCTCAGGGACCATTTGGCTCAAACCGGGGATGGGGGCGGGTATCACACTCCCTGCCCCTCCCCGTACCTATATATATATTAATTAATAAATTATATTATTTATTATTTATTTATATTAAATCGGCAAATGGTAATTTCTATTTCAATATATTTTGGATATTACTATAGTTACTCAATATGTTTTGGTATATGTGACGTTAATTTTTTTAGATTAAATTTATTTTTTTTGTTTTCGATTTATTAATTATTATACGATGGTGTATATTTTTTGTATTAAATTAAATTCCTTTTGATTTTAGGTTTATTGGAAAAATGTGAAATTTAAACATGTGTAACGTCTCACACATTTGATTTAATTTTTTTTACACAAACAAGGGAAAAAAAATCCCCGTTTCCCTGTTGGGGATCCCTGTTTCCTGTTGGGGACGGGGATGAGAATATGATCAAATTCTCCGGTGGGGATGGGGATGGAGATGTGATCAAATTCTCCGGTGGGGATGCGGACGGGGATGGGGACGGAGATTGGGGTCCTCGTCCCATTACCATCCCTACCGAAAATGGACTATTTTTTACGGCGTTGTCAATCAGATCTGAAAAATAGCCAAATTACAGTCCTCTAGTTTCCTTAATTGATTTCACCCACTTAAAGAATTTAGGGTTTGAGGACTTTTTGACTTCTTTATTAGTTCTTCACGTTTGGTGTATGTGCGATCTATGGACTATTGCTGATTGGTTGTGTTTCATTGCATTCCCGTGAATCAAGGGCATGTTATGTAAAAATTCGAAATGTTCGAATTCAAGAAGGAATAAAAATTCCCTTGTGGTCACGAAGATTCAAATGCGGTGACTCCGGGTTACGGCTCACGTAGCGGGTTGGATATCCAGGCTAATAAAAAAAAAATCGAAATGTGATTTGAAACTGAAATGGTTTATGAAGGATTTGTTTGTTTGGAAACCACAAAACTAATTAAATTTGGTCGCCAATTTTTGATTTAAACCAGTACGGTGGGGGTCACACTTGTTCCCACCAAGTACAATGATGTATGTACTAATGTCTATGTGGTCAGTTACATAGGTCACCCTTACCTTCGCTATAGGTGTAGATGGTACATAACCCCACACACATACTCTAAAGCGTTTTCGTACATAAAACGTATACGACATGGTTGCAAGCTTTAAGACATGCTTAACCTATAACATGTGTATAACGACCTTTCATAATACTGTAACAATATGTATTTTCACATGTCGAAAAGTAACCTCAAAAAGCCACGAGGGCAACATATGTTAATTCCGTGTTACTTTCGTCCAGAAAATATTTAAATCTCAGAGTCCCATAAAAATTACAACATTTCCTTCTTCCTCATTTACACTTATAATCAACTCAAATTTACAAACAACAAAATCTAGCGATACGATATGTCTAGCTCGTAATAAGCATTTCAGACCATCGTGTGTTTCTTCAAAACCAACATACTTGTGTCTGAATGGGAAGGAAAATCTCGAGTTTGCTGATTTCTGCTAAACCGAGACTCGTTTTTTGCATTTTTGCAAGTATGTTAGTCATGTAGAAACAAAGTCCCAAGTACAATGATTCGAAATGCAAATCACTCTGGGTTTTTCTATACACTTATAGCATTAAAAGTTTAATATAATATATATATATATATATGTATATATATATATATATATATATAGATATAGATATTAAGTTCTAGATATCTGCAGCTGAATAACCTGAATCATATCATCTAACCAATGGGTTGTCTTCGTGAACCAAATCGTTGACTGGGTTTAGCGCGGCCCAGATGGCTGCATCCATGTAGCCAAGCTCATAGAGGTTATCAAGAATCGAATCGGCTGCTGGCTCCAATGCCCAGTTGAAAAGCTGGATCAAACAAACTAGAGTTCAATCGTTCCTCTATGAAAATAGGGACAATAAAGGCTCATTGGCCCAGTGGTACCCAGGTAACTGGCAGAGCCCAACCTTCTTGGAGATCAAAGATTCAAGACTCACCAAAGTTGAGGAGTGTGTGTGAGTTTTGAGGTATATAAATATCATATACTTCAAAAGAAAGAAAAAAATTCTACCTCTCTGGGGGTCGCCCTATTTTCAGGATTACAATCGGGGCTGATACCAATGTTTTCCAATCCCAAACGACCGGCAGGAAAAGCACAGACTCGGACCTGTAAGGCAAAAAAATATCACAAAATACACAGCTGCAATTAAGGTCCATAGAGCAACTATTTCACACCAGGGGACAGGCAGATGTTTTCAAACTACTTGCGCATCAAGTGATTGCACTTTGCAGATACTCTACTGCATTCAAGTATGGCAGCCATTGGATATCCGAAAAATCCACGTATCAGTTTGAATTCATATCTGATTAACTACCATGTATCTACAAGGTTTATTAGTTAGTAATGTTCTAAAAACCTATTCTGCTACCCTAGTCCTACGTCTCCAATAACTCCTATCAGAGATTATGTCCTCTGGAACGCCTGAGGTCGCCATGTCCAACCTCACTTGATCATCCCAGGTCCTCCTCAGCCTACCCTTCCTTGGCCCATTGACCGTCGCACTTTCTACTCTCACAGGGACTGCCAGCTGTCTCCTATGAACATGACCAAATCAACGCAGTCTTCCCTCCTCAACTTATCTGTGATAGGCAACACTTCCAAGACTGCCCGAAAAACCCCGTTCGGTATTCTGTAAAACATGATTTTACCACAAGTCCATTGAAGCATCCTCATTTCTGCAACTTCCATCTTCCTCTCATGGGCCTTCCTTATCGCCCAACGCTCCGATCAATGCAACATAGTTGGTCTAATGGTTGCCCTATAAAAGTTTCCTTTCAGTTTCAGTGGAACCTTATTATATACAACACCCTCCGTAGCTGCTCTCCACTCTAGCCATGCCATTATTATGCGATGTATTATGTCAACATCAACCTCACCCCCTTTTTGAATCATGGAGCCTAGATACTTGAATCATCTTTTTGGGTATCCTTGCCCCCACTATGTCGACTTCCGCTCCCTCGTCTCTACACTCCCCTCTAAAGTTGCACCAGAAGTATTCGGTCTTAGAGGATCTCATCAATGCATAAATATTCAAATATGAGATAAACCGGCATTTGATAAAAATGGATATATCCATATCCACATCCAGTTATTTGTATTCAATCCACTTGCACCCCTACATTCAAGACTGTGCCTAAGGATCTGCCAGAGCTAACTACAATCCCCATAAAATATTCTAATAACAAAGAAAAACAAATCAAGATTACCGTTTGAGCAGCAGATGTTGGTGGCATAAACAAAGTCAAACCGCCATCAACACAGAGTCGGTTTCGGAATAGGATTGCTGGTCTTGGCGCAAGATATCTGTACAAGAAATGATTTTTAGTTCATATATGACATCCTACAAGTATGCACAACATGTGATTTTTAAGTTCATTTATGTCATAGAAACAGACCAGTAGATTGATGGCAAAAAAGATTACCCTGGGATAAACGAAGAAGTAATTACTGCATTAATGAGATCCTCTTTTGAATCGAACTGATCAACGAGTAACCCTCTAGGCCTCCAAAGAATCTGTGTTACGGCAACTATATTCACAATAAAACTTGTTAGAAAGCTGCATAAAGAAGTTCATCATAACTAGCATCAAACAGGGGACCTTTCTGTAAATTTCTATTACAAATACATGCATTTCAGCATTAGTTGGTAGTTTGATCTGATAAGCAGTATGTATCTGAATACAGAAAGATAACAATGTTCCTTTTGCACTTTTGCATGTTCATCATAACTAGCCTCCAGGCTCCAACTATAGTGTTTCATTAACTATTTCCTGCCATCTAGAGTGTTCTTTTTGCATTTCCGCAAGTTCATCATAACATTCAAGAGAACGACAATACTCTTAAGAGTTATCCTAGACTGCTCAATGCAATAAACACTTAGATGAGATGGATTTAGGTTATACTGCATGCTCCAAAGATTGTAAGCAATCCAGGTGCAAAGCTTAGAGGGGTTGGATTTTGTTTGTCTCTAAAGCTCTTTCTTTCGGCTTATCATCCAACACCAATATCGTATTTCTGGTTATACATTATAGAGTCTATGCCATCATTACCCTTTCCTGCATAAACATTGTAACATGATAATGAAACCATCTTTCTATTATCAATCCATTAAATCAACATTTTCACAATGCATACGAAGATGATGTTATAATTCTATCATGGGCATTAATCAAATAACTTAACAAATTGCACTTGCTAGCAGGGAAGAACTATGCTCACCTCGAACCCTCCCATTAGACCTTATATGAACATCATCTGGCAGAAATTGTTCAAGAATGTCTCTGAGAACAGCCTGGCCATAAAAACATTCAAGAGGTTGAGATTGTAAGTTATCCGGAGAAATAAATTGAAGATTTGATTTGCGAGGAGAAATGATGATGGGACCAACAAAATGAAAATTGGGATGACAGAAGGAAATTTATAAATGAACAGAAACCAATTTGGTTTTTCCGGTCAGTGTTTTCACCATTTGCCCGATCCAAACCATCATAAGATAGAAGTTGAGAAATATACCCCAAGACGAAATGCAGTCCCTCTACTTCGACAATCTTCAGCCAAAATTTTAGTAGCTTCTAACGCCTCCTCCATACTTGCTCCTGATGCAACCGCTGCACATACGATGGCACCAGCTGATGAACCAGCTAAGGGTGTTGTATCCTGATTCAACCAAGTATTATCATTATTCACAAGAAAGATCGTATAACTTACATATATGAATATCAAAATATGATAACAAACAAGAACAGACATACATCATACATGTTTATGTCTCATGAATCAAATAATGATACTTCAGTGATTCACCATCCTAACCTAGCTATATACAGTAATACATATAGCTAATAATGTATATATGTATTCTAAATCATACAGAATTTTGTCACCAGCTTTTTCAATAACAAGAACCCTAACTGATAGCTGCACACAGATAACTTGAACCAATCTCTTATTATTTTGGTGGATTAAGCCATTTGATACCACATAATCTGGAAAGAAAAAGGGAATTGAGGTACCTTAATGTAACCCTTTTCAATCAGAAGCTTGGCAACACCAAGATGATATGGAAACAAAAGTCCAGCAGCAGAGAAGCTAAACCCAGGGCTAGTCACCGCCTTCCTCTTTCTCTCCGCTTCCACGTCTTTCAACCTCTGCTCCCATACTACGTCTCCGTCGTCCACCACCGCCGCAATCACCTCCTCCTCCTCCTCTTTCCTCTTCGTTAACCTCCTCCAAAAATACGATTCCTTTTTACCATCCAATTCCTCACCAAACATCCTAACTTTCTCCTCCGAATTCAATCCATGTTGTACCGCATTGCTGCTCTTGATAATTCGCGACGCTATCCCGAGGAAAAGTTCCCCGGTAGCCACCGCAAATGACCTCTTCTCCGACGGTGGTGGAAATGGTGGTTGCTCGGAGTCGGAGTCGGTGTTGTTATTGTTGTTGGGGGTTTTGGAGGTGGCTTTTGAGGAAAATTGTAGAGTTGGTGGATGGCGAGAGAGGAAGGTGGAGTTGGGATTAGGGTTAAAGGAAGGAGGAGAGAAGAGGGTGGAATTGGAAAGTGGAGTTGCCATCGGAAAAGATGGGGACGGCGGAGGATGGCGGTGGTAGTTATGAAAGAATCTTTGGACGGAAGTTTTGGTGTATATACCCATCACTTTATTTTAATTGACATAAACAATAACAACAAATTTTTGTTGCTTTTTGCTCAACAAGTAATACTTTGAGTGAATTACATTTTTTGTGTTTTTCTTTTTGGTGTTTTTAATGGATTTAGATTTGGTTTAAAAAATAATGAAAAACATTTTTGGTCCGTATATCGTGTTGTAAGCCCAAATGAGTCCCTCCTTTCGATGTCGTTAGAGGTGCCACGTGCCCTCGTGTGAGGGGCATTTTGGTCTTTTTACCCCTCCCCCCTTCCTCATCAAGAACAACATCTATAGCGACCCTTAACCACCACCACACTCAAAACACAGAAGCAATAACAAAATCAGAACCCCAGATCAAATCCTTAAAATCAGTAAAAAAAATCAAATCCTTAACTTAATAACCCTTTAAAATTTAGTTGCCTCTCCCCTTCTTCAAGATTTGTGCGTTGTTGAAACCTGATGTACTTTGAGAATTCAATGTATAAAGCACACTCATTTTATAGTTTTTAGCTAGTTTATTTTACTTTTATCTCAATCTTGAGTCATTCTATTACTTCATTAATTATAAAGCTAAATGTGTGATTTACTTGTTTTTTACACCTTTAGAAGACTAATATGAATAAAATACATGTTGAGCACACCATTTTGTTTCTAGAAGTCCACGAACTAAAGTCTTTTTTGGGAGATTCATGGCTACTAAACATTTGTTAGGATTATGTAATAATATAGTTACCTTAAAAGTAGAGATGGCCAAAATCCGGTCACGGGCCGGTCCTTAACCGGTCCTTACCGGTCCTAATCAAGACAAAAACCGGCGGTAACCGGTCATGCCATAACCGGTCCCGGTCCCGGTTCCGGTGAAATACCTTGTAACCGGTCAAGCTTACCGTTAACCGGTTAAGGAATCCGGTCCCGGTTCCGGTCCCATAACCGTTCCCGGCCAAAAAAAATATTTTTTTTTCCAAATTTTTGTTTATTAATAAATTTTTAATATGTTATTAATATGTTTGTAATATGTTATTTTTAATATATTTTATATAAATACTTTTTATTATAAATATGTTTAAAATATGTTTTGTTATATATATACATTTAATTTTATAAATACGTTTTATTTTATATATACTCGTTGACTTTTGTTGACCGGGCCGGTCCTATAACCGGTTACATAACCGGTTCCGGTCTTAACCGGTCTCGGTCCTAGAAAACGTTAAAATCCATAACCGGTTCATAACCGGCGGTCCACAACCGGTCCATACCGGTCCCGGGCCGGTTCCGGTCTCTCTCCGGTCCCGGTTCCGGTCCTCCGGCGGTTACAAGCCGGGTCGGGCCCATTTGGCCATCCCTACTTAAAAGTACCTTTTGTTGACTTTTAATTACTTTCCAAGTTTTACTTTTGTCTTTTTTGGTCCCCCTATTTTTGTGTATAAATAGGGAGGAAGGGTCTTAGTTTTTAATCTAACAAAATCAGTTTTAAACTGATTTCTCTCTAAAATTTAAAGCAATTTTAATATTAAGTCTCGTAATTACTTTCAAGTCATTTAATTCTCGCTTTTTACATTCAAGTCATTTACTTTCTGCTATTTATATTCAAGTCATTTACTTTCTGCTATTTATATTCAAGTCATTTACTTTATGTCTTTACTTTATATTATTTACATTTCTTGCAATTTACTTTCAGTAATGAGTAGCTAATTCCATTAGCTTGGATGTGAGACAAAGAGTGAGATTTTAAATCAAAGGAAAGTGGATGTTGTTTCGCAATAACAATTTTGCACTATTTCATTCAAGTTTTATAAGCCAAAAACACTTCTTGACGAGTTGATTACTTTGAAAATGTTAAAAAGACTCAATATGGAGAAGTGAAAAGTCCTAAAATGTTGTAAAAATGGTACAAATAGGGTTAATACATTAACACCTATCAACCACCAATAATTCAGCTCCAAGTGCCTATAAATTTTTCTACGTCGCGGATGGATGGAGTACTTGGACTTGTGGGCATCTTCCAAAAGCATCTCTCAGTTGCCCCTATCTTGGGTACCCGAACACGCCCCCGGAAGAGTTTCACTCCTCGATCGTTTTCCTTCAACAATAAGTGTTGTTTCACTATTACTTCATTCTTGAGGTTCTCTTCCATCAATGCCTCATCAATACCTCAACTTGTGACGCTTTGATCTTTTCGATTAGGCTGGAAAATAGCTCGATTTTCTGGAAAGGTGGCTCAGATGCTCCCTCTATATTCTTTTCAGTTTTTCAGATCTTGTGATCGGTGTAGAGTACATTTAGTGTCATAGAGATAGTGCCGCTACAACTTAAAGGCAAACACTACCGCTGCCAACTCCAAATCATGGGTGGGATAGTTTCACTCGTGCTCTTTGAGTTGTCTTGAGGTATAGGCGGTCACTTTGACCACTACATCAAAACACAACCCAAACCCATCTTGAAGGCATCACTATAAACCACAAAGTCTTCATATCTTTCGGGTAAGGATAAAATCGATGTTTCACACATATGTCCATTCAATAATGAATGGCGTTTGAGAAGAGACAAACACATTAATATGACAATTTTTTAATAGGGTTTTGCTATATGTATTCCTATTAATGTGTGAATTAGGTTAACTCATATATTAAAAATGTAAAAAGTAAAATTTGATGTTGATGTGTATGAGAAGAAAATTACTAAGTATGTGTTGATCCTCTCTCTCATTTGATTTGATGATAATCCCTTTTACCCTATGCAAAGTATTTATATTTCTATTTTTCAGTTCCAACGATCATCACTGAGTATGTTCAGTGATCGCTGAAGAACTTATATTGTAAATCCAATCAGCAACAACGACACTTCAAGAAAACAACACTCACACCAAAGATCCTTCAGCAAACGTCGAAGACTGAAACTGAAGATTAGAGATTGGTGAGTATGTGATCTGAAACGATATTCAATGATTACAACATTTTCTACATATGTGTGAAGACTGCCTAAGTCTCAGCGAATGCTGAAGAGACTTTCAGCGATCAAAAGAAGCTTGTTGAGCACGATTCTTGTTGTCTTGTCCCTACACACACAAAGGACAAACCCATACCCTTTCTAAACGTTAGTACGCTTCGGAGCCGACTAGTTGACTCTATTACCCACCAACTTTGTGAAATGATGTTTGCTCATGAATAGGCTTTTGTACTATTCACTGTAGCAAAGGACAAGCCTTCCCCTTAAGGCTTTACACGCGTTCTAACCCTACTACGTTGCATTAAATGTGCATTTAATGCAATGGGTATAAATAGATGTATTCTATCTCCATCAGGGCCGACCCTGAGATTTTGGATGCCCACGGCGGAAAGTCAAAAAAATGCCCCTTATAATGAAAAAAAATTCAATCACAAGTATATATGAGGATATTTTTAACTTTAAAACAACATGAATAATCGGTATTCATTATTCACAAATGAAATCTATGCAGATATATGGTTATCAAGATGCCAATTATTGATAACAACATAGTTTTAACTATTTATAGGTTTTTAGATAAGGCTTGAAAGATAAATAGTTAAGAACAAGAATATGAGAAAGAGACTTTAAGAAATGAACCTCATGCATAAAATTGTCTTTAGTTGTGGTATTGTTATTGATCACAGATGTTATGTGTTGCAGCAGAACATCAGTGATGTATCTCTTTCACTCACATGAGGAGAGTATTCTTTTAGACGCAATGTAACTACGGTGATGAACTAACACAATTGGCACATTCATATATGGATCAGTGTGATGAAGAGAGTGTGCAGGATAACACGTCAACTTCAAACAACTATAACTTCTGTTCAGGGTGAAGTTAAAGGGCCTGCCACCACTCAAGGCCTCAACAGGCAGCAGGTCTGGGCACCAAATGTCAGTCCCAAATTCCCACATTTGGAGCTCCAATTTTGAATTCCCCCAGTCTATACCATCTACTCAAAAATCAAAAGTTCTGATGGAAAATTTGATCATCATAATTGAAATTATGAATCTTCACAACCACATTAGTCATTTGCCTAACACATTACCTAATAAGTAATTAAACAGAAGCTTAATCATCTCAACCATTCTAACTCTTAAACAAAGGCAAAGCTAGTTTAACCTTATCCATAAGCTGAAATATACTAACATAATTCAAAAATGAGTTGAAATATACTCTTGATTCTTGAATCACTTAATTTCAACATTTACCTACTTGATTGCCTCTAAAGCCTGCTGATGAAGTAGGTTAATTTCCGGAAACTCCGAGCACATAATAACTCAAATTGGTCTCCTCTAATTTTGTGGTTTGTAACAACTAACAAGTGAAACAGTCAATGAGTGAGTGAGAGAGGCAGTAAGTAGTCACAACTCACAAAGAGAGAGGCATACCACAGACGGGCGAGTGGCAGAGAGCGAGAGCGAGAGCGGCGAGAGAGGCAGCCGCAGACGAGAGAGGCAGCCGGCAGCCGCAGACGGCAATCGCAGACCGACTCCCAACGGTAGTCGATAGACGATAGTCGAGGGAGGCAGAGAGCGAGAACGAGAGCCGATTGCAGTTTCGATTTCGGTTTCGATCTCGATCGAGGAGAGTGAGCGATAGACGGACAGAGTGAGGCGAGAGTCGAGAGGGACGTGGACTGTCAAGGCCCAAAGGAAAAACTGAACCTATATATACATTGGGCTTTTAGAAAAATGATGCCCTTGGGCTTCATGCTGCCCTGGGCCATCGCCCCCAGGGCCTATGGCCAGGGCCGGCCCTGATCTCCATGCAGAGATACTCGATACTCTTAACCCTTACTCTGAACTTACTTACACTTAAGTAAAAGAACACACACATCTAAGAACAAATACGCTCATCTTCAAGAGAAAGTTAGAATCTCTTTGTTGTATTCTAAACAAGTTCTCTCCCAGATAGAACTTACTTTCTTCTATTTCTTTAACAACAAATCTTTTCTTTATTTGC